ATACATATATACACATATACATACATATACACATATTTACATACATATATACATATATATACATATATACATAAACATACATATATACACATATACATACATATACAAACATATATACACATATATACATATACAAACATATATACATACATATATACATATATATGCATTCTATAGTCAATATAATATTTCTATCTGTTCTGAGAAATTCCTTAATTAGCTGTTTTAGCTAACAGCTTTTAGTCTAAACCAAAGGCTCAGTGATGTATGGCTGAAGGATCACGATTTTGTTTAAAAAGACACTGATCTGTCTGAGCCCGATTTCTCCTTGTTTTTATTTACATCGTCAACTCATTCGTGAATAATCTCCCATTTAACTTTTATTAGTCAACAACTAAAAAGGTTAATGACTAATTCTGCGACAGAAAATTAAGTACAGACAAAACAGGCGAAAACGGCTGCTGAATGCAAAGTGAGTTACGAGAAGAACCAGACGACTGACGGCCTTTTCTGAACCTTTGGTTGTACAGACCCGACATATTAACATCACGCGGTCAGTGAAAGCCGCAGTCCTTTCACCATATAAAGCCAACGTGAGTTCACACTTTTTCCCTGCAGCCATATTTGACTCTGCACTGTTGTTGCTGCCACGAATGTCTTGATCCCTCAGTGGCAGTGGCGAGGCAGCAGTTGCACTCCTCGACTCCACTCTCAGCTGTTCCACCTGCTCCTCCAGACAAAGGGCGCAGTGTTGCCCGGAGCTTTCACCCTACGCCTCGGATTCTTAAAGTGACTCTGAGAACTTAATGTCTGTGACCAAAAGGGGAAGGGTGCAGACCCTGATTTTAAATCCTACCCTCTGTTGACGGGAAACCTCCTGTTGTGTTTGAAGACAAATTTTGATTCCCATCCGAGGTTAAAAATCTCTAGGACACAAGAGCGTTGGTTCGTAAGGTATTAATTAGTCATCTGAGACTTGAGGTCACTTTTAGTTTCAGTCTCAGAAGAATGACCATGTGTCTAAAACACCTGTAAGTGAAAACCCAAAATGGATTTGGAAAGAAACCAACTGCTCACCCTGTGACTCATGAGTTCATGAGGTCAGAGGATTTGAGTCTTTGAGTGTGTGTTCTTGGAAAGTCGTATGTAACACAGGCAGTACTTTGTGCCTGCTCCTCGACTTACGTCGGAATTCCCTTTCTACGGCGCAACATAACGCATACGCCATCGGAACTCAAGCACCCGTGTCCCTTACTTATGCTAACACTGCGCAAATTTTGTTTTAATCTCACAAACACCCTACGTAAAGATGAAGTGAAAAACTTTCTTAATAAATTTACGGGAGATGGTGAAGTAATCGCAAAACACCTGAGGTCAACGGTATCGAGGTACCTCAGGTATTGTAAGCCAAGGACCCACTGTAACCGCTTTGTTCAATTCTGTTGGAGAACTCTAACCAATCACATGACAGTAAGAGAAAGCCCTCGCCCCTAGTTGGCCTTTCCTAGAGCACTCCTGAGTTTCTAGTACTTCAGTTCATGTCTTAGACTTGGATTTTTTCCACTGCTTTTTTTTTTCCTTTAGTGACTTGGCTTTCGGACCAAATTCCCAGGTTTGGCCCGAATCTGGACCAGAACACAACAGTAACTTGACTAAACCAATGGTATCAGATGTTTTTAGAGCCGAGAAGTGCTTTAAGTCATCGGATTTGTTTGTAGAGAGTGAGTCTGTCTTTGCTCAACTGGTGGATTTTTTTTTGTTTTTTTCCCTCTTGTACCCATGTAGCCTAAGAAGAACCACATGTGTGGCCCATACGGACATGTGGCCATGCCAACGGGGAACACATCTGCTGCCCTATCAGTATGACCAGGATGTGCACAAATTAAAATAGCATTTATTTTTTTGGCAAGTGACGCTTTTCTTTCCCACTTCAGATGAGAATTACATTTTCTTACTTCACTTTTAAGGTCATGCTTGACCAATATTTGAAGAAAAAATACACCTTGACACTTTACTTCGTCTACTTTGTTCCTTCTTCTGTGCAGGAAACTAAATGTTTCTCTTCCAGGAGACATTGTGGCCCACGTTCACTTTCACCCCGTGACCCTTTAGTATAAGCATGGCGGGTTAGCGTGGGAATCCAGAGCCGATTTCCTGGAGACACCTGAAAAAACACTGGACTTCCTTTTGATTCAGTAATAAATAGCTGTGACCTTTGACCGCTCGAACCGTTTTACAAATAATTGAAGGGAAGAGCTCAGTGTGAGCGGGAATATCATCTTTTCAGTACATCGCTACTCGTCGCTGAAGATGTTCTTTGTTTTATCTCCTAGTCCGGTGAACCCGCCCCCGCATTTGCTCTTTTAATTCGACGAAACATCTTAATAAGAAGAAATTATGAAGAGACTATTGGCTACTCTTTTCATCTAAATCAAATTAAAAGTTTGAGCCTTGTTTAACTCGTCGTCTGAAGGACAGCTGTGTTTTGATTGACTCTGGTCCCGACGGCCTCAGGTTAATGAAGGTATATAAGGTATAGGTTAATATATAAGGTATATAAGGTATAGGTTAATGAAGATATTATATTGAACATAGAATGCATATATATATATGTATGTATATATGTGTATATGTACTGTATATATGTATATATGTCTATATATGTATGTATATATGTGAACATATGTATGTATATGTATATATGCACATATATTTATGCATATGTATGTATGTATGTATGTATGTGTATATGTATATGTGTATATATGTATGTCTATGTATATATGTATGTCTATGTATATATGTATGTCTATGTATATATGTATGTCTATGTATATATGTATGTCTATGTATATATGTATGTCTATGTATATATGTATGTCTATGTATATATGTGTGTATATATGTATATATGTATATATATGCGTATGTATGTATATATGTGGATATATGTGGAGATTGAGATTTCAAGAATCCAGGATTTCCACTGCTGTTCGGTAAATCTTCTCCACCGCGTCCAGCTGCAGCGCTTTTGCTCGTTGGGTGCAGTAACGTGATGGGAAAAAGACCAGAGTTTCTCATTATGGTTCAGCCTCAGCGGTCAGTGTAGCCGGCGATGGTCACCCACCTTCATCAGCCTCATAAACCACATCCTCCGATGGAGGAGGAGGAGGAGGAGGTGGAGGAGTGGAAGAAGGAGGCCGCTGTATTTATATACGAACGGTTGTAGTTGATGAACGGGCAGAGAGAAGTGGCAGTGAATCAACTGGCACTTCTTCTTCATGACTTTTGATGATGATGATGATGATGATGATGATGATGATGATGATGATGATGATGATGATGATGATGATGATGATGATGATTTAGAACGAAAGTCATTTTACATTTACTAATAACAGAGTGTTTTAGTTCAGCTACATTTTTCTCATTTACGTCTGGAATCATGGGAGAAAAAAAACAATTGTTAGATGTAATAAAACTGATGCTGAGTCATTGGTTGCTGGTGTTGGTATTTTTGCCCCACAAAGGGATTTAAAAATTGTCATAGTTTTTTTTTTTTTGTTTGTTTTTGTTACAAGTACTGTAGTTTTCACGTGTTGTAAGTAGAAGCTTAAAGGTTTTAAAGACTTGCTGTTTTATAACTCCTTTAATCGCTCTTTCGCCTGTGTGTGTGCTGGTTCTAATGACTCCAGAGTCGTTTGGCGTGCTGCGTACACACACACACACAGCTGCGGGAGAGACGCAAACGTTCATGTACCACATAATCTGCACAACGTTTGTTTATTTATTTATTTATTTATTTAATTTGGACAGCGTGGAAGCTGCTAGCGCGTCGGTGAGGGTTTTTTTTTTTTTTAGCTAGCAGCCAAACTCTTTTATCACGCTAACGGTCTATTTTCCATAGACGGGAAGTATGGCGTTGGTCAAAATGTTTTTAACAACACGTTTTACACGTGCATGTAATGCACTAATACGGCCTCTAGGCCTGCTCATCATAATGTTATTAATAGAATAACAATTAAGAAATTAAGAAAAAAAAATAAGTCCATGCAGTTAAAGTCAGGAAGAAACGTTGTTCCAAACATCGAGGGTCTTCGGAGCTGCTGGTCTCCTGCTGCGTTTTTTTTTTTGTTTTTTTTTATGAGTTTTTGCCGGTGCGTTAACTCACGAAGCTGTGATTCACCAAAGCATTCACTCATAAACTTCGGACGGGGCTATTCACTCGGAAAAAAAAAGTGGGACCAGATTTTTTTTTTAACCCAAGAAATTCAGATGGGCCACACATTTTTGGTGGCTGATAAACAAGGGGTAACTTTATACAATATGCACATATATTTATGTATATGTATATACAGTATGTATGTATATGTGTATATGCACATATATTTATGTATATGTATATACAGTATGTATGTATATGTGTATATGCACATATATTTATGTATATGTATATACAGTATGTATGTATATGTGTATATGCACATATATTTATGTATATGTATGTATATATGTGTATATATGTATGTATATGTATATATGTATGTGTCACTCATAAACTTCGGACGGGGCCATTCACTTGAAAAAAAAAAAGTGGGAACCAGTTTTTTTTTTTAACCCAAGAAATTCAGCTGGGCCACACATTTTTGGTGGCTGATAAACAAGGGGTAACTTTATACAATATGCACATATATTTATGTATATGTATGTATATATGTGTATATATGTATGTATATGTATATATGTATGTGTCACTCATAAACTTCGGACGGGGCTATTCACTCGGAAAAAAAAAGTGGGACCAGATTTTTTTTTTAACCCAAGAAATTCAGCTGGGCCACACATTTTTGGTGGCTAATAAATAAGGGGGAACTTTGTTTACCAGAACATGTGATTGTACGATAAAACACTAGATGCGTTACGTAACCTTCAGTAAGCGACACTCGTAGCAAAATAGACAGGTATTTTTTTAGTCCGTGCAGAGTAAAATCTGGTGATTTTCATTGAAAATTTTTATGTTTGTGCCACGTCTAGTCACTAAACGAGCTGCTTTGTGGGATGCGTGTCGCTACGATACGGAGAGTTTCTTAAGCGCATTTGTTTATCGCTATCCTCCAACTCCCGAAAACAACGTTTTTTTTTTTTTAGTTTGACCTTCTCATTGCCACACATTGGTTCCTCGTGTCTCCTTTTCTGACTTTTCTGTTTCTTTAGCGAATCCTCTTCCTTATACTCGCAGGAATTTGTTCGCACTTTGTAGGCTTCTGACTTGTAAGCCGTTTGAAGTTTTATGATTTGTTGAGACGTATTTGATAGTCACCAGGTTGGAGCAACACACCTGGGCTCGTTTCAAACAAACATTACGTGAAAATGTCTCAATACACCACCGATACCACTCACGAGTCCAAGAATTTATAATTACCGTCGAGCGTCACAGTGGACCAAAAACACAAGTGAGACATAATGGAAAACCGATGTTTTGTGTCTGTGGTCTTTGGTTTAGAGGGATTTACTGAGTGACACACACAGCTCTGTTCCCAGTTAGACCCGATGACGGTCAAGTCATAGGAAACGAAAAAGGAGAGAGGAGGATAATAAAGATCGTAACTTGGTAAGGCAGTAGACAGACAACTATAGGAAAAAAAATGTTTAGAAAAGGGAGGAGAAAAATAAATGGAAGAGTGGGTGGGAGAGAGAGTTAGAGAGAGAGAGTGAGCTACAGGATTAACAGAAAAGATGACCTTGTGGACAGACATGGTGGTCCTCGGACTTCCTTCTGGAGCTCTTTTATCAGTCATTCTTCTTCCCCCGTTACTATTCCCTCTACACCCTACATACACGACCTGTTGACCTTACATTAATCCCGCTCTTAAAGGAGAGATTATCAAGTGGCCGTACAGAACGGTGAAATCTCTCGGGTCAGGATCAGTTGATCGAAACACAGTAGTGAAGTCGGTAAACTGAACAGAGAACCGATAGATTGTAGGGAACCCGGGAACTCATTGCGGTTACATTTAATTTAAAAAAAAAGTTTCTTCAACTACTTCAGTTTTTTTTAAAATAGGCATTCGTTTTTTTGGGATCGTTTTGCGGCCTCATTGACGAGGACTATAACATCCTTACACCAATTCAGGTGAAGGGTTGTCCATGATCTAGTGGTTCTAACAATCGCATCTTGTTGGGGGAACTGTAGGCTCAAATCCCGGCCCTTGTAGGACCGTGGTTCAGTGAGCGTTTAAGGCAGCGGAGCGTAATGTCCAGTAATTGTCGATCAGTTTTGCTTTGGATATGGCTATGATGCTAATGCTAAGCCACGGTCACTATGTAATCGTGACATCGTGTGTGACATCGTGACTGTCCATAAATATGATCCCGTCTCAGTTTCGCTCATTCTGTTTGTTACAGTGTTTGTTTAGCGACAGAGGAAACGCTAGGCCTCATCTTCAGCAGAGATCGACGATGAGTTTAGCGCTCCAGCCTTTTGAGGTCCTAACAATTTAGGGTCCGGTACTCTGTTTTCATGCAGTAGTAGTCGCGACAATAATTAAGTAGAAGTGGCGCGCTGGTGCTTTACATACGTAGCAAAAACTCTGTTTTATCTTAAGGGATTGTCAGAGAAATTAAAAAAAAAACAAACAAGAAACTCATCTCGAGTAAGGGCTAGTTTAAAGCCAGCATAATTTAGGGAAGTTGCGGACAAGTTCCAGTAGCAGCAGCCAGTAAAAAGCCTAGGAAACAATACTGACTCCATGATTTCTCTCTTCATACTTTGGTGCAACGATGGAGTGGTTTAAAAAAAAAAAAAAAAAAAAAACGGAATAGTTGCCAGGCCAAGACGCAAACCTACGGTATGGTACGATGAGGTGGCTAACGTACTCCTGGGCTATGCTAACCTCAAACAGATGTACATTCTACGAGGTGAGCTCTTAGTGAAGAACAGATGATTTCCATTAGGTTAATAATACAAAATCTGATTTGGGGGGGGGGAGAGGGGGCTGCTGCTGCTGCTGCTGCTGCTGTTCTCAGTTCCTCCCTCGTTCGCCGTCAGTTGTCACTCCGCCGCTTCCACCGACCGAGGCAGGAGGAGGAGGAGGAGGAGAAGAAGGAGGAGGAGGAAGAAGAGGGATGCAGGAAGAATACACCTTGCCTCCTTTCACTCCCTTATTTTTCTTCCTCCCTTCTTCTGTTTCTCCCTCTATGCTCCTCGGCAACGGCAGCAACTACCGACCAGCACATCACACACACACTCTTATAAACAGAGACTCAGACACACACACACAAACAAAACCCTAGACACATTGACACACACAGATTGAGTGGCATCATCACACAGACTGAGACGCCCTTGGACTGCTGCGCACGAGGTGAGTGGGTAAATATTTAAAATGTATTCTGGATAATTGACTCTCTCTGTGTGTGTGGTTTGGCTTTCTGCATGTCTGCATGTGCTGGTGTGGTTTCTCTCCCCTCTCTCCCACTCCCTCTCTCACTCTCTCACTCTCTCTCTCTTCCTTTGTATTTGTTTACGAGGCGAACCAGAGCCAATGAGACTTTTTCACCAGACCAAAACAAATCCACAAAATAATGCTGACTCCGTATGTTAGTGTGTTAGTGTGTAAGTGTGTGTGTGTGTGTGTGTGCCAACACTGCTACTTGTCAAACTGTGGTTTCTGTGGCTCTTGGCTGCTGCAGAAAAACTATAGGATCTTCAGGCGTATCGTCCTCTGGTTTTAAACGTGACATGGTGGTTTTGTACGTAACGTAATGGAATTTCTTTGCTTAAGTCACAAAGTGTTGCCCGAACGTCAAAGAATAAAAGTTCAACCTTAGAACTTCCCTGATCTACACGTGTTAACAAACGATTCAAGGCAACTAAATGTCACACCTGGGGCCACAGTGATCTTTGGGAAAAAGTAGGAAAAAGAAAAAAAAAATTGAGGCAACTCCTAAAGTACCGATCACAATAGGTGTCGACGGAGGTGATAATGACTGAAAAGGTTGTAGATATGTTTTACTGTCACAGAAACGATTGTCGTGTCTTCGTAACACTTGTGAACTTTCTCTCTTCCTCAACATCCTTGGTCCAATTTTGGCCACGAGACTCGGTTCTCTTGCTTCATGCCCCAAATTCTCATCACTCCCGGTTGAAATCTCAGCATCACTTCCTTCCTTCTCAATCCTTTTTACAATTGTCTGTTCTCTGTCACCCCTGACAACTGCCTCCGTCCGTTCCACATTGCCTGGCTTCTCGTCTGCGTCATTGCTTTGGACGAAAAGTCCCAAATACCTCAACCCATCCTCACGCACCTCCTCTCATCCTTGCGGAGTTCACCTGCGTCATTTTTGTCTGTCCTCTTCAGAATTCACCTCCTCTTCTCCTGATACTCTTCCACTTACTCTCTACCCTCAGTGACCTCGTCTGCCAATCCGTCCATCACCCCATTCAGACTACATTGAACCCATCTGTCATTCTGACCGCACACTTCACCACAGACTCCCTTTTCTCGTGCCTTGCACCATCCTCACATTCTTCTCTGCCTCTCTAGACTTTCTAAAACATTACCCTCATTAATCCAGAACTCCATCGTCAATCTTCCCTTTATCTAGTAAAAAACTTTAAAATCCATAATTGTCGTCAATAATAGATGATTGACTCATTCAATTGCCTACGTACCAGGAGTGTTACTGTTAAGCAACGTGACACGTCACGTTGAGGAAAACAGAAATAATTTTAACCGCAAAGTAAAACACTAGTAACAATGAACAAGACATTACAACCAAGAAAAATTGAAGACAAGACAAGAATAAATATAAACATTAAGTAATTCCCAGTGGGGCCCCTTGAGGTCAGCTGACCCCAAAATCTGCCATGACGATCCGGATTTTTGTACAGTGGCCGCAAAGCGAAGCCAGGGGCTACCCTGAACACGACTTGTAGAAGGGAATCTGGTGAGTTTGACGCGCAGCACGACTGACGTTTTATGAGGATATGAAAGTGCATCTAGCAGTAAATCGCTCCGAGCAGGACAAACTCCTACTGCACTCTGTCTGCTTGTCTGCCGACTGAGGCTGCCAGCACGATGACAGGAGCGAGGTGAGGGGCCCCGGGGGTTTTCAGGGTGGGGACAGCACAGGGCTGATGGAACGGGAGGAAGAAATATTGAGGGGACCGTTTACTCCTTTCCAGGCAGGGAGGTGGGCCAGTGGAGAAGGAGGAAAAACCCCTCTACTCCACTTAACTCCCTCCCCCGCTCCGGTCTAAAAGCCAATAAGACTTGTCTTTTGCACCAGACTGAATAAATCCAAGAAATAAGGCAGACTCTGGTTTGACGTACGTGCGTGCGCTCGCGAAAGGAGATAGACAGATGGAATGAGATGAAGAAAAGAGGAAAGTCCTGAGAACATGGGTTTCTACTTCGCCGGGAGGGAAGTGGTAAATTAGAAAACATATAAGAAATACTCGGGGAACTGCACACATTTTTTTAAGAGAGCGGAGCTGGTGAGGTGTTCTCACAAACGGTGAAGTGAGGTCACGTAAGGATCGTTCCTATGGCGTAGGTTACATTTCAGACGGAGTTCCAAGGTTAAATTCAATTAGCGGTAACCAGAGGTGTGGACTCGAGTCGCGTGACTCGGACTCGAGTCGTCAATTTGACGACTTTAGACTCGACTTGACAAAATGTAAAGCGACTCGCAACTCGACTTGGACTTTAACGTCAATGACTCGTGACTTCACTCGGACTTGAGCCCTTTGACTCGACAAGACTTGATACTTTCTCCCAAACCCGGAGATTATAAAGTAAGTTTTTAAGGAGCGCTCTGTATCTCTCAAATGAGACCCACGTTGTTTTGACATGATAGCATCGAGCCATCAAGCCTCATCGAACATCCGATGAGGAAGAGCCGTCAAACAACGCGCGAGTGAGAGAAAATTATACCAAAGATCGTGTTGTTTATTTTTGTTTATTTAAAAACTACAAGGTGGTCAACAAAAAAAACAAAACAAATGTAAAAGGACTCGAAACAGAAACGGCAGGACTTGGGACTTGACTTGACACTTTTTGGTCTTGACTTGAGACTCGACTCGGACTTGAGCGCAAAGACTTGAGACTTACTTGTGACTTGGAAAGCAATGACTCAAACTATTCGTTTTTTTAAATTATTTCTTCATTCTCGACAAGCGCAAAGGAAACGTAAACACAGTCAACAACGTAGCAAAAACAAGTCACCGATATTCCGACAACTTACCAGAGAGTCCCACCTCCTGGACAACTTTCGCCCATATCTTTTTTTTTTATTCTGCTCCCAATAATAGTCGTTAATTAATTAATTAAATTAATACGATTAAACAAATGCGATTTTTTTTTACTTTACGTAATTATGTCATGATTGTTCTGGTCTGTTCTATTAACCTAATTCCCATTTTACTTTTTTTTTGAGATTGTTAAGCAAAAATACGCATGCGTTGCGGATAAGCATCTTTGCTTATGTAGATTTTTTTTTTTCCCACGTTTTCCCCTTTTTACTGGTACGACGACAGATGCTATAAGAGAGCATTGGAGGCTATCGCTTTACTTTAGCAATAAATGGTCATTTTTGTTGCGTACGTGTGTGTGTATGTGTGCTTATGCGTGTGTGCGTGTGTGTAGTCCACGTTCCGCTGGAGCGTTCGCATACCTGCGCGACCACGTGGCTTCGTTCCGAATATGAGAGTGCGCGGTGGCCCCGACGCGTATGTGCGTACAGTCACTCACGCCACTGGCCAAAAGCCTACACATGTGAGGCTCTGTCTGAGTACGTCCGTGTGTGTGTGGCAGCTGGCTGGGCTCCAGCTGTGTCTGGTTGGATAATGAACTCCAGGTGCGGCAGCGCCTGCTTTAAGACACCTGTCACCAATATTTAGTGCCAGAGGAGCCAGACTGCAAACAGGGCGAGACGAGCTGTTTGCTTATTTTAACTGGACCTGAGGACATGGGGATGTACTGTGAGCCCTTTCCTAGAAGTCCTCCCTCTCTCTTTCTCACTCTCTCTCTCTCTCTCTCGCTCTCTCTCTTTCTCTCTCTTTTTCCTCTCTTTCTTTTCTGTATGTGTGCAGCCTGGACATCCTTCAGTCCCCCTGACGTTTGTGCTGATTCTGTGTTTTCTTGTGACATTTAGCCTAACAAAGGTGATTTCTTTTTTTTTTTAACTCAGTCATAAAAGTAAATCTTTGAGGCAAAGTGTCAGGAAAATGTTAATGATAATTAAGACCAGTGCTAGTTAGCATGGACATGGACCGGTGCTAGTTATCATGGACATGGACCGGTGCTAGTTAGCATGGACGTGGACCGGTGCTAGTTAGCACGGACGTGGACCGGTGCTAGTTAGCACGGACGTGGACCAGTGCTAGTTAGCATGGACCGGTGCTAGTTAGCATGGACACGGACTGGTGCTAGTTAGCATGGACACGGACCGTGCTAGTTAGCATGGACGTGGACCGGTGCTAGTTATCATGGACATGGACCGGTGCTAGTTAGCACGGACGTGGACCGGTGCTAGTTAGCACGGACATGGACCGGTGCTAGTTAGCACGGACATGGACCGGTGCTAGTTATCATGGACATGGACCGGCGCTAGTTAGCATGGACGTGGACCATTGCTAGTTAGCACGGACATGGACCGGTGCTAGTTAGCATGGACCGGTGCTAGTTAGCATGGACCGGTGCTAGTTATCATGGACATGGACCGGCGCTAGTTAGCATGGAGGACATGGTTTAACGTCAAACGAATAAAAAAAATAAAAAATGCAACACTTCTAGCCTATAGTTCCACCTTTTCCTGTAGCATAAACACCAAAGCTAACATTAGCTACGGCAGCTACAGCCTGGTACCATTGACTAGCTAATTAGCTGCTATAATACCTTGGTACTATGTCTGTACTACCTATCAAAAAGAATAAAGAGATCAATGTAGAAATACTTTTTTTTTTTGCTTTACTTTACACTGACTGGATTTACCACTTGACAGAGCTAGGATCGTACGTGTGTCGGTGAGATGGTATTTAACGTCGGTTCTGCACGTGTTCCGTTTTTTTTTTTTGGAATCCCTACAGCCGCAGAAGAGCCTCTCTGCAGACTTTTCTTCTGACTCAAAAATTCTCAATGAGACATTAATCTCCCGTGTCAGACCTGAGCCTCCCTTTTCCTGTGTGTCTGTGCCGGGTTCGCGTTAACCTTTACATGCAGACATCTACACTTCCTCGCCGTCTGCCTTCATATAGCGCCGGCAAACAAAGGTCCACCTGTGTTGAATCCTAGGAAACTTGCCGCCGTCTTTCCGGCACACTTCCAGCTTGTTTAACTTTGACTAGGGCCCCTCTGCTGTCCGCCTCCAGCACCTGCGGCCTCTCAACAGCACGTCTGTGTCGCCCTCCACCTGCCAGGGCCGGCGGAGCTGGTTTCCTGCCAGTTCAACATTCAAATACCTGCTCTTGGCACGCTGCCTCTGGCAGGAGTGCGCGCAAATGCCCTCTGTTAGCTATACCATTGTTCCACTCTTCCACGCTGACGTGCCTGGAAGCCTAACAGCCGCTTACCGAGTTCCATGCGATCGGCGGCCGGTAATGGAGAACAGCCGTCCGCACGGTCAGAAGATACAACTCTGATGCAGTTAGCGCGGTAATGTCGGACAGGTAGGGGCTCTGTAAACACTTCGGTTTGTTTACAGTTGTGTATAGAACAGTGTGAGACACAGGAAAAAAAGAAAACGTCCGTAGAGATAATGTGAGTAAAGGAGAAACAGCTCACTTCAGACCAAATTCAATTAAGCACATTTCCAAAAACCACCGCAGGGTTCTTTAAAGCTGGCAACGGTTTTCCTTGTGAAGCGTAGAGTGTTTTACTTTTCGTCATTGATGGTTCACATTCATCCAGTCAGTACAATTTCTTTTTTTTTTTTAAATACACAGCAGTAGACAAAATATTTCAGCTCGCTTTTATGGTCCACCAACAATCCCACTGTAATGTATCTGTCGGTACAATTCCCTCGCAGTTGCCACTTAGAAACATCCAACTCCACTCGAGCGATAAAATCTTTAGGTCCTTTATCACGGTGGTTCTCTAACGAAGGTACCCAGACCCAGGCGGCATGACGGCCTAAATGGAGTCATTCAGTCTCATTGTTTCCCAAATACTGGGTCACGACCCTCAAGTGGGTTGCAAGAATTTTTTTTTTTTTTGGGTCGTTTTGCAAAATGTTTTCCCAAGAGTTTACGAATAATGTCTATTGACTTGGGTCGCAAAGGTTTGTGACTTTTAAACTATGGGTTCCCCAGAAAAAAAAGGGTTTGGGAAACAGTGATTTAGCCACGATGTAACTGAAAAAGAGAATCAGAGCCATGAGTTCTGGCAGTTTTTCAATGTATATGTTGAATTGGGAAGATCGACAAAGATCGAACTTTGATAGAAGATGAAAAGACGGCCAAGACTTGGACAGTGAAGAGCCAATTGTATTACACACTACAGACGTCCTCCAGATACGAGATAAATTCTTCAACTGCTACAAAGGGGCGTGACATCTCACCACCTGATAGGTCAGGATATCTCAAGGAATCTGAAAAAACGGACGCATCAAAACTTATCCTTCTTTGGTGTGATGGCTCAGATGTGTCATTTTGAGACTTACAGACCCTCAACATTTTCAAACGCTGCTGAAGAACAGCCCAAAGCCAGCCTTTGAACACCAAAATAAAGACGTACGTTAGCAGACGCAGGCTTTTATTACGTGACTCTCCGAAGCAGCTAGAAAAAAAACCCTCTCTTGACTCCTCGAGGACGTTCATACCTAGCGGTTCGAGGCACAAGGAGCACACACACAGTGCAGTCAGTGCTGAACACAGCTGTGAGTTTGTGGGCTTCGGCCTATTATGTCTGCAGCCAGTGCTGTCTGAGGGAGCTAGACGGGGCTAGACAGGTCGTATTTAACATCATTAAATGATGACGATCCTAATTGATGCTCTGAAATTGCATCACCAGCTGCTCCCACTGAAATGTTTGGCGCCGATCGCCCTTCGTTTGTTGGTCCCCTTTTGTTGGCACCGAAAAAAGGAGTCAGAAAGAAAAAAATATTCCAACCTCAAATGTTTTCCCATGGCTTTCAAAAAACTTTTAAAAGTCCAAGGTCGGACCCCTCTTTGGATCTGAGAGTTTGGAAGATGTCGGGGGAGAGAAAAAAAAACAAATAAAAAAACTACATCCACACATCTCTGTGGTATTCCTTCACCCACAACACGGCATAAGTGTCTGAACATGGGTTTAAATACCACAGGCGCTCATTAGTGGTCAGAATATTTCCTTTCAAACCCTTCAGGCTTTGTTAAAGACTCATCACCGCCGCTGCCAAGAAACACAGACTCGCTCCATTCATCATCTCAGAAACAGCTCTTGGTCTCACACGTGAGAGGATCGTACCGTAAACCAGGGTTAGATGTTTATAGGGTTTTATGGAGATCGCTATTTAAATTTTTTTTTTCCCGTGTATTTGAGAATGAAAGAGGGGCAGATAAAAAGAAGAGGTGAGAGGCAGAGAGAGGGTGAATTTAAAGATAGGAACAGAGAATAGAAGAAGAATCTGACAAAAATACAGAAAAATTGCCCAGACCTGCGGAGGATATTACCAAATCTCCACCAAGTCTTGACTTTCTGTTTGAACGATCAACTTTTTAAATTTTGTCTTTTCCATCCGTCCATTTTCATCCGTTTTATCCGTTACCGGGTTGCGGGGTCAGCAGACTCCACGACCGCCACCCAAATCACACTGCCCCATACCAACCCCGCCCCTGAACCTTCCTGCAGGTGGTGAGTCCACTAGAAGGTACCAATCGCCCTGACCGGGATTCGAACTTTCCCAGGAGGTGAACCCTGGGCTTCCACATCAATGACAGAGACATCGCCACTAATTTAGTCTTTTTTTAATTTTACTATACTGTCAAGAAAATGTCAACTTTATACAGCATTTGGGTTGAACGTCTGCCTGTGACTGTCATTAGGATGACGTTGTCATCATGGGAACGGTGTGGAGAGACGAGTATGGTCCTGCTGGGCTTCCTGACGTTGGTGATGTCACTGGGTAACCTGTCCACCAGGGGGCTCCAGGTAAATGAACACCATCCATTTGCTCACAGCAAAATCTCTACAACTTCTTTTTTGAAAGGCCTGTTACAGTGGACTGTTTTACAATGGACTGTTTTACAGTGGACTGTTACAGTGGCCTGTTTTACAGTGGCCTGTTACAGTGGACTGTTTTATAGTGGACTGTTACAGTGGACTGTTACAGTGCCCTGTGACAGTGGACTGTTTTACAGTGGACTGTTTTACAGTGGACTGTTACAGCGGCCTGTTTTACAGTGGCCTGTTACAGTGGACTGTTTTACAGTGGACTGTTACAGCGGCCTGTTTTACAGTGGCCTGTTACAGTGGACTGTTACAGCGGCCTGTTTTACAGTGGCCTGTTACAGTGGACTGTTTTATAGTGGACTGTTACAGTGGACTGTTATAGTGCCCTGTTACAGTGGCCTGTTTTACAGTGGCCTGTTACAGTGGACTGTTATAGTGCCCTGTTACAGTGGACTGTCACAGTGGCCTGTTTTACAGTGGACTGTTTTACAATGGACTGTTTTACAGTGGACTGTTACAGCGGCCTGTTTTACAGTGGCCTGTTACAGTGGACTGTTACAGCGGCCTGTTTTACAGTGGCCTGTTACAGTGGACTGTTTTATAGTGGACTGTTACAGTGGACTGTTTTACAATGGACTGTTTTACAGTGGACTGTTTTACAATGGACTGTTTTACAGTGGACTGTTTTACAATGGACTGTTTTACAGTGGACTGTTACAGTGCCCTGTTACAGTGGTTACAGTGGACTGTTTTACAATGGACTGTTTTACAGTGGACTGTTACAGCGGCCTGTTTTACAGTGGCCTGTTACAGTGGACTGTTTTACAGTGGGCTGTTACAGTGCCCTGTTACAGTGGTTACAGTGGACTGTTTTACAGTGGACTGTTTTACAATGGACTGTTTTACAGTGGACTGTTTTACAATGGACTGTTTTACAGTGGACTGTTTTACAGTGCCCTGTTACAGTGGACTGTTACAGTGAGTAATTGAATGTGTGTCTGTGCTCCGTGTGTGTGTGTGTGTCAAGGAGGAGGGTGTGGCTTTCAACAGCTTGGAAGAAGAGCTGGAGGTGACCACATACTGGTGGGGGGAGTGGGCCAAGTGGACCGCCTGCACTCGAACTTGTGGAGGAGGAGTGATGTCACAGGAAAGACACTGTCTCAAGCAGAGGTTGGAAACACACGCACACACACACACACAGACAATAAAAAAATCTGTGTCCGTCACATGTTCACACTCACGTTCACACCTAGGGTCAATTTGGAGTGAAAAAGATTAATCTTAATTTTGCATGTTTTTGTATTTCAGTATAAATGATTGGTCGACAAGAAGAAACTTTAAAACATAAAAAAAACTAAGGCTCAGCGTGCCAGATTCGGCCCATTCAGCTTTTTAATCCTTCCCACCAAATTTCTCCAAATTATATTTATATTATCGTTACACTTCTGCCTTTTCCCTGCAATACCCTTGTTTTCCCAGTAGATGGCGTAGAAACTGATAAAAGCATTTTAGCCTTTATGCATGACTTAGAGTTAGCTCTGTTTAATAAAGTAGTTGAACGTTTGGCTGTTGCTCATTCTTTTGTCTCCTTACTGTCCAAAGAAAGAAAGTTGCTGCTGGGAAGGACAACATGACCTGCACGGGGACAGCAAAGAAGTATCATCTCTGCAACACCAGAGTGAGTCACAAACTTGACACTTCACCTCGCAGAGACCATTTGTGTCGTTAGCTGTGATGGGGTTTTTTCTGTTCCGTAGGAATGTCCTGCTCCTGGGAGGAGCTTCAGAGAGGAGCAGTGCTGGTCCTTCAACTCCCAGCTCTACAACGGAAGGAACTTCCAGTGGAAACCTCTGTACCCTGGTAATGAATTTTGGCCAGATTGAACCCCCCTGACGGGCTTTTTTTTTGGCCTTATGTTTGACACCCCGGCCTTTTAGACACACAAAAACAACTTGTGACTGTTCGGACTTGTGCGTCTCCCACAGATGACTATGTCCACATCTCCAGTAACCCGTGCGACCTCCACTGCACCACCACAGATGGCCAGAGGCAACTGATGGTGACGGCACGAGACGGCACGTCCTGCAAGTACAGCAGTTACCATGGTGTCTGCGTGGACGGTAAGTGCGAGGTGAGTCCAGCTTTCTGTTCATTATGTTTTCCATAACTTCAACACAGCAGGTTAGGGTGATAAAGCGGAATATTGCATTGCATTTCAACCTATCCAGTTGACATTAGTAAGAACTTAAGAAAACAATGCAAACATGAAGCGTTGGTGGGCCAGAGTTGGCCCGCGAGCCTTGAGTTTGACACGTTACCTAGGCGTTAGCGCTAACCTAAGTTAACCATGCTAGCCACTAACCACGTGGGCCTGCTTTCCTGCTCATTTGTGTAAGAATTCTAGTGTCCTTCCTCCTCATATGTACTTTGCTGCTCAGCCAATAGGATGTGACGGAGTCCTGTTTTCCTCAAACACCTTGGATAAGTGTGGTGTCTGTCAGGGCGATGGCAGCAGCTGCAGCAGAGTCACTGGAAACTTCAGACGTGGAGCCATGACGCTGGGTGGGCCGAAAAAAGAAGAAAAAAAAATTAAAAATCACATGACTGTTTAAAAGTCAACAGCGAACGTTTACCGCCGTTTTTTTTTTCCTGTTGTTTAGGTTACTCCTTCATCACCCAAATACCTGAGGGATCGTGGGACATCCAAATCATCGAGAGGAAGAAATCTGCTGATGTTTTAGGTAGACAAGTCTTTGAAAAAAAATTAAAAAATTAAAAAATAATAATTACTGATTTCACTCCTGCGCCACAGCTGTGACTGACCAGGCAGGAAACTTCTTTTTCAACGGGGCCTACAAAGTGGACAGTCCCCAGAACTTCCATGCCGCCGGTACTGTTTTCAAATACCGTCGGCCCATGGATGTGTATGAGACCGGGATCGAGTACATCGTTGCTAAGGGACCCATCGATCAAGCAATCAATATCCTGGTAGGCCTACCGTAGTACTTTCACTATGTCTGTGCAGTATTGCGAAAAAACAATAGTCCGCCTAGATTTTCTTAGGAAGCTCAGATCTTTCGTGGTGTTTGCAAAAAAAAAAAAAAAATCTTGGATACGTTTTATCAACTGTCAATCTTTGGTTATACGGCTGTTTTCCCTGAAATGTGAGGTATCCTGACATTTCAGCATACTCATTAGAACGGCATACGCTACATTTCTGAACAGCACCAGTCTTAGCCTCCCAACCCCTACAGTCTCATTGGTTGGGAATATTTTACGAGTCCCAAGCCAGACTGTTAGCAACATGGTTTTAGACTTACCCCAAAACTAGTTCTTGCAAGTGCTACTGTCCCTGCATTAGTGGAGATACTATACTAGTAGACTGAACAAACTCTCCTTCAATAAAAAAAC